GGGGGGGGGCGGGTTGGCGAGCGCCGGGCCGAGGGTTTCAGCGCCCGGCTTTCTAGGGCGGGATCGCCTCGGAGATGTAATTACTACGTTTCCAGTGGTGCACATTCTCCTGGAGTGTTTAATTTGGTTTTATTTGTGTCTCAGCGAGATCCACATTTTTTTTCGGGGGAGGAGGGAGAAGCGACCCCAGGCTTAAAGTTAATTAACCAACCAGGCTTTACTTTTCACCGCCTGCCCGAAGGCGCCTGCACAGCCGCCTCCCTCCCCGCTCCCGACGCGCCCCTGTCGTGGAACCAGTTTCAGGCGCGAAATGTCTTCGGGAACACAGCGAAAGAGCCGGGAATGGTTCAGAGTATGCGGACACTTCTCCGGACGCTTTTAACCCCCGTAGCCCTAGACTTTCTCTTCCTCCAGCCTTCCCACACCCCCAGATCTCTTGGGGGGGCCTACATCTTCTTTGGCTGGTCTTCTTGATGAAGGAGACTTTGGTTGCCTCTCCTCTCGTCGCTAAAATTTGGCCGCATCGTGCCCCTAATAAATGGAATTGTAAAATTGCCGGGTTAATTAAATCTATATCTCACTGCAATAGGAACAGTTAATGTCCTTACATAAACCTGGAAAAGAACATACTATTAATTTTATTTATTGCTGGGCCGCCCTGCACCCAGATCCTTCCCGCCGTTCTGCCCCCTACTCCCAAAGGCTGGGGGAAGCGTGTCTTTGGGTCCGGGTCCGCGGAAGAGGCGGCTGGCATTGAGCTAGAGCATTCCTGGACTGGGGAGGGAGCCCCAGGAATGGGGTGGGCGGTTCAGGCTCTTTGTTTCTCCTGGCGGCCCCGCAGAGCCCGGTCCACGTAGCTCCGGGTTCTCCACGGGACCCAGCACTTCACAGGAGGAGAAGCCTGGGTCTCCGCACTACCTCTACACCTGCGGCTGCCAGCCGGCAGGCCTCCTCACCACCCACCTACAGCAGCAAGGCAGCAGGCCAACGGGGGCCAAGGTCACACGACCCAGTCTAGACTGGCCAGACCCTGTTTGCTCTCCTAGTTTTACCTTGACCTTGGACCCTGAGGCAGGGGAGCCAGATTCCTAGCCTAAAGCCGGCTCTCAGCGAGACCCCACCTTCCCCTGGCTCCCCTCCTCTCCCTCCACCATCCTTGCCCTCAACACACTTTCAAGCGAAGGCAGCTTACGTTTCAAGCCTCCCTCCTGTCTTTTCCTCCTCCTGCCAGCCCGGCCCAAAGCCTATTTTTCAGTCGCTGACGTGACCCTGCCGGAGGAAGATCACACTGATAAAGATTACTCGGTTCTCATCCTAACTCACCGACCCCAGGGCGCTCTCCATCGTCAAATACCACCTTCCCCTTACAGGGAGAAAGGAGGCGGCCAGTGGGCCAGATCTCAGTACAAACCTGGCATCTGCTCTCAGGTTTGAGGGATCCAGTGGGTCCGGACTAGCCTGGGGCTACCGCGCGGCCCCCGCTTGTGTGCTGTCTGGACAGGAGCACCCAGCATTTAAAATCTGTGGCAGTGGCAGGGAAGAGGGAGATGCTGCAGCCCCTCTCCCCCCTTTTCCTCTCTCTCTTTATTACCTCTTCTCCTCAGGGAGGCCCTGTGCTGAAAGGGAACTTGGCTCAATTCCACGGAGATGCGCTCTGGAAAGGGGTGACTCTACTGATGAGCTAAATTAGGCATAGGAAACCCAAGTCTGGAGACTGGGAAGGAGGAGGGGAGCTTTTGGGGGGGGGGGAACCCAGGAAGTTGGTACTAATTTTTTCTTTGAAATAGGGGGCAATTTTTAAACATGAAGACACTCCACACTAAAAAGGAGCGACCCCAAGAAAGCGGTGGGAGCTAAACTTGGCGTTGTCCAGCTGAGAACTGTGTTGATCCTGGCTCTGCCCCTCGGCCTTCTTAGGCCGATCAGCCCAGGCAACGGAGGGCGGAGACGGGGCCCCGGGGCTTAGGTCGGTCCTTCTGGGGTCTTACTGAGTTGTGCCTCCAAAGGGGCAGCTCCGCCGTCTGTCTCGCTTTCCACGTTTCCTTTTGTACACCGATCTGAGAGTGCTTGCTCTTGTTCTCATCACGGGCTTTTTAGCTTTTCTAGACCGTATCTTTCCCCCACTCCCTACCCCCCACGCCCCTGCCCTTTTCTTTGAAAATCTCTCTGAGGCTTTTTATTTCTATTGTACATTGAAATATCAGTCTATTCTATTGCCCTCATTTTCCTCCCTTCATTCTTTCTCCATTTTCCCTGAGAGCATCCCTCCACCCCCTCCATGTAGTGGTGTGTGTGTGTCTGTGTCGTGGGTTGGGGCTATCACATCCTCCCAGCCCTCTCTGCCCTGCGGTCAAGGAGCCGAAAGGGTCCCTCTCAGACAACCCGGGCTTTGGGGAAAGTGGCTGAAAGTCGGAAGTGGAAATACAATCCCGACACCAAAGTCTCGGTGCGCGGTGTCAGGTTCTTTCCGTCCGTGAGCTCCAGGGGATTATGCCAGGGCCAGAACCAGGGCTCCCCACGCCTTGCCCACGCGCTTCCGCCTGTCTAGTGTATTTATTAAGAGAGGAAAAAAATCAGTTTCTCCCCTATCCTTAGCCCCAACCCCAATCCAGTCCCAGGGATCGTTTTTTTGGGGTAGGGGTCGGTCTTCCCCACAGACGATCTAAACCTAAACCTAGAGGGAGGCGCCCAGGAACAGTCCTAGCGTCTCCAGACCCCTTTGCGTCGGCCAAATTCAGCCTCCCCCTCCTCCCTCTCCCTCCCTCGGGCCTGCCAGGGGGGCGTTGCCCTGTCCCTTTAAATCTCCCAGCTCCCTCCTCTTTGCCCCTCCTGAGAGCCAATCAGCAGAGATCAGTTTCCTTTTGCCCCGCCCCACCGCCAGGGGTGGGAACCCCAGGAGACCTGGCTCCGGCGTCACGTGCACCGGTCGCGTCACACGGGCGCGGGAGGGGTGCAGAGGGGAGTCGGGCGGGAGACGGCGGATTTCTTAATGAAGTGTCCCCGCATGCGTAGAGGGACTGTGGGGAGGGAGGTGGAAGCACCCGGAGGAGGAGGGGAGGGGAAGGGAGGGAAGGGAGGAGGGATGGGGGAGGGGAAAAGAGAGCGAGGTGTCTCCCTAGCTCGCAGCCTCTGGCAAGTGGAGTTTTTAAAAAGCTCGAGCAGATCATGTCATGACGACTTCGCTGCTCCTGCATCCGCGCTGGCCGGAGAGCCTTATGTACGTCTATGAGGACAGCGCGGCGGAGAGCGGCAGCGGAGGAGGCGGCGGGGGAGGC